AGTTGGACCTTCAAAGTAAAAGTACAAAACTGTGTCATCATAGGGGTCAAAGCTGTTCCTGGGGTGAATCAGCTGGAGCTTCCATCCGCTGCGTAAACATCCCAATAAATGCGGTTTGACCCAATTGATAAACGCGCGCAGGCGCTTTGGTGCAGCCTAACGTCTTGGTATGTGTAGCAGGTTTTATTTTGAAAGTTCCGATGGAAACACTCATCGCGTTAAGCTTCACCGTGCATGGCTCTGTGTGTGTGCGTGTGTGTGTGTGTGTGTGTGTGTGTGTGTGTGTGTGTGTGTTTGTTGGGGGGGGGGGGGGGGGGGGGGGCAGAGGGAGGACAGCCACGGAGTGCGCAGCACAAACACAGCCGGTCGACGAGGAAGCACATCAGCAACAGCGGCATCTTCCTGATCCTCACCCACCCTCCCCTCCCCACCTCACTCCGTGGTTTATTACGCATCCCGATCTGCGTGTGCGCCTCCGACCCGACTGACTAACAGAGACTTCACTGGCGGGGCTTAAGTGTCCAGAAAGCCTCCAAAACCAGCATCACCTCCCACCACTCACTGACTTTCCTCTGGAGCTCGGGTTATTCTTAGCTCAGGCTGCGCGCGAGACGCAGAGAGAGAGAGACGGTCCTTCCGGTCCTTCTCTTATTTATCCCAGTTTCTTCAATACTTAATGGAAAAATGGCGATCTGCGCGCATTCGTTCGGTGTTTTTCTGCCTCTTCACCATCCAAACTGTACTTATCATATGCATCTCCACGCCGACAGCCGGGACCCACCTCTTCCCCCAGCACTACACGTAAGTACCGAGCATTGTTTGAAGGTGGGGGGTGGGACAGTGCGCAGAACTAGGACAGGTGGCCGTTTGGACCTTAGAGGAGCTACTGATGTTCACACGCAGCTTCTGTCTGGGATGCAGCATCATTCTCGTGATGCTTACAGTGATGACGGTGGATGATGCGTTTTGATGCCTTTGCATTTGGAAAAGCATCCCATCTCATCTAAAAGTCCTCTGGATGCGCTGGGAATAATGTAGGCTACATCCCACCGCAGGGTACGCTGATGCCTCAAACTTGATCTTTATGTTTTTATCGTTCAGAGACTAAAATGTTTAAGACGAACTTGATGCTTTTATCCAAGTGATCGCAGTCAGATAAAGGAAAAAGCTGCAGGACTTTTTCAGCGTGCACCTGTTAACTCACACATTCAAAGTAACCCTAAATATTAGATCAAGCTTTGATCTCAAACATGTCTCTTTAAAATAATCAGATACGATTTAAATCTTTTGGATTATTTGCTCTTATAATTCTCTTATAATTAACCCCTCAGACTGCAATGGAGCTTTAAAAATGTAGTCTTGATTATCTTTATGCACTTAAATGTTTCTGCCTAAATGCATTCCCATGACATTTCTAAAGCTTTGTTAGTTTCACATCCAAGGTGACTTTCAAAATAAAAGTGTCCTCTACTGTCATTGACTCACAGTTAGCTGGACCATTGATTTGATTTTTTAAGCTCTACAAAGAAAAGGTGACACAGGTAATTTGTCTTGCACCTTTTGTTGCTCTGCATGCAGATGCTGGTTTGACGCCATCGAGCTACAGTTTCACTCATTTTAGGGATTGAATAAATTTTTATAAAAAAAAGTATTTTTTTTAAACTGGAGTTTTAATATAAAAACATTCCTTGATGGCCCTGGAGCCTGCTGTGTCCTTGCTTAAGTCTGTATTATATTCAGTCACCTCTTGGGATTTATAAACTGGGTTTTGGGTCACCCAGATTACTGTGTAGTTAGCCAGAATTTCCTGTGTGTGTGTGTGTGTGTGTGTGTGTGTGTGTGTGTGTGTGTGTGTGTGTGTGTGTGAGACACAGATGCACCTGTATAAGAATGGACTGACTGCTCTACAGGTTTAGGCCAAATCAAAAAGTGAACGTTTCTACAATTCGCCAAACTGACAATGTGATTTAAATGTAGAGTAACTATGCTGATGTCACGCTTCAGTGTAAAATATGTATTTTTCCATCATTTCAGAAGAAAAGAAAAACCCTCTGTAATCTAAGTGGATTTTTTATTTTTGCATTGTATTCCAGGAAAGTAAAATCTTTTCAATGATAATAAAACATCAACTGCAATCTCACTCAAATGTTACTTGCAGACATAAGATAGCCAACCTTCTGCCCTAATAGATATCTGAGTGAGGCACTGTGAGTGATGAGATGCATTGCAGCAGAATGGAGTGTGTGGCTGACACACTTGGGTCCTCCATCCAAACTCGTTTCATCACATTTTCTGCTTTTCCTCCACATTTCTATTTAAAATCATAATGTGGAAGAAATGGGTCAAAAACACCTGAGAGGAATAATAAATACTGAATACTAGAGCCAGAATGGTTTTAGACAACTTATTTATTTAAAGAGAGCTTTGATGACACATAACCAAGGCCCTGCACATAACAGCCCCTACAACACGGTAAATGGCCGTCGTAGGGTTCTACAACCCCCCAAGGCGCTTCACAACACAATCAGTCATTCACTCATTCACACACACATTCACACGCTGGTGATGATGAGCTACGATGTTGCCACAGCTGCCCTGAGGTGCACAGACAGGGGAAAGGCTGCTGAGCCACCGGGCAGGGCGGGTTGTGCCCAAGGACACAACAGCAGCATTCCCTGGCAGAAACTGGGGCGGAATCGAACCCACAACTTTCCGATTGCTAGACAACCTGTTTTACCTCCTGAGCTACTGCTGCCCCCAAAGTGTCTTCTCATTTCACTTTTGTAATATGAAGGTTAGGACATTATCTGTCTTGTGTAACAGGTTTGATGAAAGTGTTGGTACGATCCAATTCAGCCCAAATAAATAAAAACAGGCACCTGATTTATTGTTGCAGGTGATGAACTTGAACATTTAGGGGCAAGTGGTGAATTTTGTTGATTTGAACAGATTAAGTGTCCTAAATAATCCCTTTTCATCATCTTTATTCAGTATTATTTTAAATAGATTTTAGTCTTTCAAAGAAGTTGTGTGTGAGGCCTAGCAGACATGGGAACAGAGGTAATGTTCCTCGCCGTTCCTGCTCTGTTCCCTCCTCAGCCTGTTTCATTTCATACCAAGGTGACCTTTTCATACTAAGCAGCCTCTCGTCAGCCCCCCTTGCACCGCCCCTCCACTCCTTTTTGGAAGCCCTCCTGTTTTCTCTTAAACTCGTCCCTGTAAAAGCGGCTGAAGCACTCACTTGCTGGCATGTTTACTCTGCTACGTTTCTCCTGACAGGGCCCTGCTGCAGCCCGGCGATCATGCTGAGCACCGTTTGTCAGATTTGTGCAGTTTAATAACTCTGTCCTGAATCTTTGTCTGCTGAGGCAAATCTGACATTTGAAGATGACATTTGTTTCTGTCATCGCATTGAAAGACAAGCGACTGCATTGTGTTGTGGTGTTGATGCTAGTGATTAGTTATCTGCAGGCTGCCGGAGAGAAAAGGTTGGCCCAGAGTCAGCGGTTGGCCAGCGAGATGCGCAGCAGAATTTATTCATCTGATTGCTGGAGGTTTTCAAAATGTTTTTCATTAGCTTTTTAGAATCTCATCATGCATGCAATACATACAACACGTGTCCTGGCTGTCAAATTTAGCTCCTGCTGCTTCTTTAAAATAATTCTGTAAAACTCTGGATCCATTAAATCATTTGTTGCTCGCTGAGAGATATAAAGTGATGAGCTCCAGCCGTTTGATTTCTTAATTTCTGAACTTGGCTCTGTCTAATGGAGATCAGCTCCTGCTTATGGTGCACTTCTGTCAGACCCGAGCAGGTTTATTGCAGAGATGCTGATCCCAGCTGAGGAAAGAGGGGCACATTCCCCGCCAGTCCTGCCAGCGACGGCCCTGATATATGCAAGATGTGACGTGGCGGGTGGGGTGGGGGTTGGGTGGGGGGGGGGGGGGGGGGGGCTGCTGATGAGTAACAGGACAGGGATACTTCCTGATAGGGATCTGGAAGAGGGAAGAGTGTGGAGTTTTGCCAACTCAACAAAAACTACAGACACAGGCTCACTTCCACAACATCACAAGCATTCCCTCACTCCCTCGTGCTTTGACTGGTGTGATGACGCATTCAGGTGGTGATGTTGAGGATGCAGATTGAACGCGTCTAATTTTATTTTCCAGAATGATTCACTGGGCCGGACGCATCGAGAAGGAGCTGGAAAAGGTCCTTCAGCACGTTACGGGAACTCAGCAGATGAGATCGGTGAGTTGATGTCACTCTAACGCGATGCTGCATTATTCATCAGAACCCACCGGGCCTAGTTGTACAACATGAGTGTGTGTTTCTGAAACGGTGTGTTCTTGATCTGTTAAACCGTTTCCGTTAACTCTTTCATCTGTGAATTATTGCAACTTAAGTCTATTTTTATGCATCTTTAGGTATGAGCAAAAGTAAGTGTGTGTGTGTGTGTGTGTGTGTGTGTGTGTGTGTGTGTGTGTGTGTGTGTGTGTGTGTGTGTGTGTGTGTGTGTGTGTAGGGGGGTCACAAATGGTTTGAGTGGTTGTTTAATCCCCACAAATAAACAAGCCTGAAGGCATCTGCATGTTGTGGAGTTGCTAATGCTAACGGTTAGCTTCTACTAGGTGAAACGTGCTCTGCTCTCTCCTGGCTGCAAAACTCACCACACCCTTCCCCAGTTGTTACCCTAGGTGGGTGAGGTCATGAATGCAAATTTACAGTGTGATGTTCGTCTGTCTGCTTTTTCATTTATTTATATATTTTTTATACCATTTTTCCCGTCTAGTTTCTTTTTCTGGCTAACGTAGGCAATGGGGGTTGAAAATAATTTTTCATTCAACTCTAAAAAAGCCATTATTTTTTTTTCTTTTAATCTGCCAGAAATCTGTAGACTTTAATTTAAAATAAATCTCTTCAGTAAGCTATTTTTTACCATGGCTCAGTGTCTTTTAGAAATGTTGCTTTGCATCTGCATTCCTGTATCCTTTTCTGTGTAACGTGTGTTCCCGGTGGTAGAGCAGATGGTGGTACAGAGTGTTATTGACACTGTTTCATCATACTACAGCCATGTGTGCACATTTGTCGTGCTCCCAGGGTTTGTAATGCACCGTGAGATAAATGCTTCATTATTGCTGTTTGGGTGAGTGTGATTCATCCAGCCCGTACGATGCCTGTGGCTTTAATGCTAGCTGTAACAGTGGGGTTGTGTGATGGCTGCTACTACGATGGCGACATTGATGGATCCCAGGAGAGGGAGGACGTGAGCTGACAGAGATTGTGCTGGTGTAAAGGGTAATGACCATTATGGGATATAGGGCAGAGGCTCAGCGAGTGATAAAAGAGGTTGATTTTTAGCACTTATCCAGTGTAAACAAACCACAGCAGAGCGTTTACCTGTCAAAATATTTCACTTTTTCAGTTTGTGTAAATTGTTTTTCACCTTTCCACTGAGTGGTGTTATCTACACAGCAGTAGACTTTGTAGGCGACGTGGTTTTAAAGGGAGAAGCACTTTGCCGCAGTTTGCTTAAACAAAATGTCATTTTACAAGCTGTGGAAAGGAATGCTGATCTGGGTTTGATGCTCAGGAGATGCACTTTGGAGATAACCTGGTGGATTATGGTAAAACGTTTTATTTGTTTTTAATCAGCATGATGGTTTTGAGAATCCTGCAAAACATAAAGATGGATGCTGTCCTTTACCTGCTGTAAAGGCTAATCTGCAAATCTGTAGACTCGTTTCAATTTATCAAGTAAATCAAATCGAAAAGTATTTTTCCTACATACTTTTTAAACTAGAGATAGATCAATATGGGTTTTTCTGTTGCCAATACCGGTGCTGATGTCTGTACAGGATCTGCTCGGGTGCAGGATCGGCTCGGGGTCCTTCCACTGCCGATGACGTCACATTACTGCAAATCTACTTGGCTTTCACACACAGGTTTTGGAAAGACATCAGGAGTTTCGTTAATAAATTCTTGTTTGATAACACCTAAATGTTTTCTTTATAATTGTAATTTGTTAATAAAACACCATATTATCTTTGTTTTGTAAAGAATGTGAAACTCATGAAACCAACATCGGACAGACAAAAAATAGAACAGTTCTTATATGTGAAGCCACATCTGTTTGTATTAATGTGGAGTTCGTCTGTATATTTCCTTAGTTGTTATCTAAATACATTATTTGACTCAAAATATTGCTTGGTGTCTTTCAGTAAAGTTCTTATATTTCATAAGAGCTTTTGAGGGTCACCATTTATCATTTGCTTATATTTTACATTTCCTTTAGAAATTCAAACATATTTTCTCCAAAAAGTGATGATTTTTGGACTACAGGACTACAACCGCTAAGACTACGACTGCAAATTTGTTCTGACCAATCAAAATCCTAACATGACAACGTAACTTCCGTAAGCTTCATGTTCAGCCAATCAACTACTTTGACGTCATCGGCAGTCGAAGGACCCCGAGCAGATCCTGCACCCGAGCAGATCCTGCACCGACACTGACACGTAGAGATCATGGTTGGTCAACGTCAGACGTTCAAGACCAATTTCTAGTTGTTTGCCACCTTATTTGCATGCTAAAATGTCACTAATAACAACAATGTATGCACAACAGTCCTACCTGAATCTGTATGAACTCTGAATCCTAACTTTGTGCAGCACTGCTGAGTAATAAAATCAAAGTTTTAACCAAAGTTAATCAAACAAATCAATAAACTGACCATGTAATAAATAGAAACAGGTGAAAAAAGGCAAGTAAGCAGACGCTTTTCAGGAAGCTTAATATACATTTAAATAGAATTCAGAAGAAGCACTTGGCTGCCCACGGATGTGCCTGTTTTTAAATGGGCAGATGCTGATGTATAAAAAATGATAAAACTCAGTCAGATACATCTGCTGACCGATATATTGTTCTATTTCTAATGTTTTGTTCTGGTTAGGTCTGTGAAAAGTGGAGTTTTGCTCTCTTATAACAACCAGTAATTTTAGGAAAATCCAAACGGGACAAGCTCAACAGGAAATAAATCATTTCCTCTGAAAGTCACCACTGGATTTTATTTGAAATTAATGTAGCTCAAACTGTAAAGTGTCCACATTGACTTCCATGAAACTTTAGAGTTAAGATTATTTTTTTAAGATTACAGCAATCTGCTTAGCCTCACTGTGTCTAGCTGTTAGCCTATTAATCCAGTCAGAACTCCATTCTGAGGCAAATCAAAGAGAAATCTGCAACACCCATCTCAGCTGTCCCTTTAAGTCCGTTTGGATTTAAACTGAATCAACAAGTGTCTGATCTACTTCCTGTTAGCTGAAGCCAACGAAGCCAGTCCTGCTCTAAAAATGTTACGTCCATCCTGTTGATGTCTTATGTTGGGCGCCCATATGGTGTGTGTGTGTGTGTGTGTGCGTGTATGTTGGCCTGACTGTGTGCACAGACTGTGTGTAAAAGAACATTTATCATTGCCCCAAACAGGAGTCGTCACAGGGTGTGCTAAATGGCCCAGCATGCCTAGAAAAGCCATTTTCTAAATGGATGCCTCTCTCTTTACGTGTGTCTGATAGAAATCTTCCCAGGGCTATGCCGGGTGGTAACAAGATTGCCTCCCCCTGTGCCCCCTTTCTTTTTCATGCGCAGTTTGTTCTCATATAGACAAAAACAATGTAAAGTGCGTGCAAATTATTTTTGCGTCTGTCTTACATGGAGAGAGACAAGGGAGCTAAGTTGAATTTAATGTGGTCATGTTCAGCTCCCTCTTAGATGAGATTTTTCCTTTTTTACTTTAAAGTAGCGGGAGAACATGGGAGTAGGTTCGAGTCAGGGTGAGAAAATAAAAGCAAGAAATTAAAATTGGGTTGATTTAAGTATTAAGTGGTTTTGGGTGTGTTTTAGCCAGAGTGTGTCTGAAAATACATCAAACTCGAGTCCTTTAAAATGGCTAAAATCACTTTTGGTCAAGAAGTTATTGTTGCCTGGAGGATTGTGGGAGAGGGATGAATCAGAGGAGGTGGAAGTTTCAGATCCAAGAGAGTCTAGATAGACAAGGAGAGTAGGCGGCTTGTGGAGCTAAGGAGGTGCATCTTAGAAAGTGTGTGTGTGTGTGTTTGTGTGTGTGTGTGTGTGTGTGTGGGGGGGGGGGTGGGGGGGGGGGTTGCTTGACAATCAGCTACTTAAGATGTATGAAGTGATGGAGGGGAGGGACAAGGGTTGGTAAATATAAATGGGCGTCTGTTTATAGTCCCTTTCCTCCGCTGCTGCCGTTTGTGATGATGGGAGGCGGCGGTGGACACTTGCATTGTCTTCAGATCCCGAGGCTCATGCAGAACAGCTTTAATAGGAAGACAGAAGCAGCGGGCCTTCACCCACGTACCACCATTAGAGATGCTTCATCAGAAATACGGAAAAACTTCCAACAATTCCACTAATGGAATCATCACAAATATTTTGATTATGGAATGTTGCAAACATGCAGAACGGTGACTTTTTACAGCCTATTAAAGAAGCTCTTCATGTTGTTGAGCTGTTTAGATGAAATAAGATATAAAATCATTAAAATGTGCTTCAAAAATAAGAACATGTGTGAAAAAAAACAAAAACAAAGAAAGAATAGAACATTTCAGAAGACTTTTCTTCTATAAATCCAAATAATTATTTTTGAATTACTTGTGTAATAATTGAAATGCTTTTATTTTGATGTAAAAACTATAGTGGAAGCTTAAAGAGGAAGTCTGGACACTGCAGCTGAGAGTCAAACTGAACACAGCACATCTGGTTGTTTAATTGTTTTCGTGGCGCTGCTACGGCCGTTATTATCAGCAGTCCAACTGTGTTTTTGTGAGGCAAAACATTCAGGTGGCCCAGAAAAACGTTCCGGTAGCCTACCTTGGTAAATTAGCGCAGGGAAAACTCTAATAAATACTCCTGAAAACAATTCTTACCTTTTGTTTACCTCCTTGCATTATTAGAGTAAAACCTTTTATTGTTTTCATGGTATGATGTCATTTCCTGTCAGGCTTACAAATATTACCGCACATTATACAGATTTGTTTACTTAGCTAATATTGAGAGATACAATTTCAAACTTTCAGTGATCATTTAGGTAATTTCCATTAATTATTGTCCTTAAAACAATCATAAATATAGTTTTATTGATCCAAAGTGTGAAATGTGAATGTTTCATATTTCTGTAAAGTTTCAAGTAGGTCTAGTTAACATTTCCTTTACAGAAGATAATAGGGATG